ACACACACATATGTAAACAAACAAACATGTAACTAAAGGTCTTCTGGTGATTTGTGTGTATGCAAAGCTGAGAAGAGTCACTCAGACTTAGTGGTTCTCTAACTAGAGTGTGCATCAGCATCACCAGCAAGGACTGGTAAAACACAGATGTCTGGATACTAGCCCCTGAGGATCCAATTCAGCTGAATGAAGCCAGAAACTGTTAGAAACTGTGCTTCTAACTGGCTCAAGGAATGCCAAAGCTGTGGGTCCAAAGAAAACATTTGAAAAGTAAAGCACAATCTCTAGAGCACTGCTTCTCAACTTTGGCTGCACATTAGAAACACAAGGCATTGGGGGGAATACATGTTAAGAATACTGATATCTGATGCCCCAAATAAATACACAACTAAATGCTTTAGCCATAAAAAATACTTTAATACTCTTAAGCAGACTAAGACATCTCTCATATGTGGTTCATACATTTTTAGCATATATATAATTATATATGACCTAAAAGTAGAATAAAAAACTGTCTACTTGATTAAAGAAGACTAAAATGAATAGGGTGAGGAGATTTGCTGGGGGAACAGATGGTCAACATAGAAATATATATTTGAGTGACTATGTCCTTATGTAATAGATATGTTCACTGAATAAAAACAATGAAACGGTTGTTCAAATATTTCCAAGATCAATAGTCAAAAGAGCAAAAAAAAAAAAAAAACTTAAAAAGCAAAACAACCAAAAGAACTAAATCATTAATGCAAACAAAAAAGAAAACATTCATATGTAAGGCAATATGATATATAATCAAGAGGCACTATGAAAAAAATTAAAGGAAAAAAAAATGCTGATCCCTTGGCCTTTCCCCAGAATAATCAATCACTATGTATTCCAGACTAGCCTTGAACACACAGCTAGTCTGTTGCATCAGTCTTTCAAGTACTGGGACTACAGGCACGAACCTCCAAATCCAGCTCCCTTTTAATGTTTTTAAATGAGTATGTACTGTCCTCTGTAGTATATTTCTGTATACTATGTTGTTTTGACATTTTGATAACGTTCTGGCTAAAGATTCTGCCATCCAGTGGCCCAATCTCCCTGAACTAGTCAATTCTTAGAGACAGCAAGGGTTGAGCCCAAAGCTATGTATTAGTAAGCTTTCCATCACTGAAACACAATGCCTAAGATAAGCAACTTGAAGAAAGTTTGTTATGGCTCACATTTCTGGTCCACCATCATTTAGCCCATTGCTTTGGGGCTGATAGCAAGTCAGAGCATAAGGACCAGGGAGCACATCGTGGAGAAAAGCTTATCACCTCATTGCAGCCACGAAATAAAGTGAGAGAGAAGAAAGGGCTGGGATCCCAATATTCTCTTCTATTATCTAACCTCCTTCCACTAGACCCTACCACCTAAAAGTTCCATTACATCCAGTGGTGCCACAGGTTGAGAACCAGCTTTTGATACTTGGGCCTTCAGGGAACATTTCCAGATCTAAACAACAATGTCTCTGAAGAATAAAACAACCACTGTGGACTATACTTCCTGTAACTGTCATGTATACCTACAAAGGCAATCCCTGTAGCATCCCAGGGCCAGGTAGCAGACAACTAGAGACCACTTCTATAGCTCAAAGCCTGCCAAACTACTCAAACTAGTTAATCATAAACTGTTGTCCCTTCCATGCCTTCCCTAAGAAAAACCCAATAAAGTACATCCCAAACCTTTCCCTTATATCTGCCTTCTGCCTCCTGATCATTCTAGTGCCTTCCCTATACAGACCTGTAGAGTACCTTCTACTCTAGCACCATGAATGTACAATATGTTGTGTTCTTGAACCTCCATGTCTTTTCTTATTGTTCCACCTATCTCCAAAAACAATGTACAACATTAGTTAGGAGTAGTGTGGCACATATCCATACTGCCAGCATTTAAGGGGGAAGCCCAGACTTAGTTACATGAAGAGTTTGAGTCCAGCCTGGGCTACGTGCAAGTTTCAAAAAATATACTTCTACTGGTGGAGTGTTTCATTACCATGGCAAAGTCCTGGGTTCAGTTCTCCAGCATGACTAAAAATTGAATATGGTTGCAACATCCATAATTGAAGCTGAATTCAGGAGATAGAGGCAGGATGATCAGAAGCTCAAGGTCATTCTTGGCCACATTGTTTGTCAGAGGCCAACCTGGAATACACAAAACTCTGTGGAGGTTTGAATGAGAGTGGATCTCATAGGTTCATATATTGGCATCCTTAGTAGCAGTTGATGAACTGTTTGGAAGGATTAAGAGGTGTTGCCTTAAGAGGACAGGCATCAGAAGAGGGAGAAAACAGGGAACAGGACAGGAGCCTACCACAGAGGGCCTCTGAAAGGCTCTACCCTGCAGGGTATCAAAGCAGATATTGAGATATATAGGCAAACTTTGGGCAGAGTGCAGGGAATCTTATGAAAGAAGGGGGAAATAGTAAGACCTGGAGAGGACAGGAACTCCACAAGGAGAACAACAGAACCTAAAAATCTGGGCACAGGGGTCTTTTCTGAGACTGATACTCCAACATAGGACCTTTCCTGGAGATAACCTAGAATCCCTGCACAGATGTAGCCCACGGCAGTTCAGGGTCCAGGTGAGTTTCCTAGTAATGGGAACAGGGACTGTCTCTAACATGAAGTCAGTGTTCTGCTCTTTGATCACCTCACCCTGATTGGGGAGCAGCCTTACCAGGCCACAGAAGAAGACAATGCAGCCACTCCTGATGAGACCTGATAGACTAGAATCAGAAAGAAGGCAAGGAAGACCTCCCCTATCAGTGGACTGAGGGAGGGGCACAGGTGGAGAAAGGGGAGGGAGGGTGGCATTGGGAGGGGAGGAGGAAGGGAGCTACAGGGGGGATACAAAGTGAATAAACTGTAATTAATAAAATAAAAATTTAGAAATATTTTAAAAAAAGATGTTGCCTTTCGGAGGAGGTGTGTCATTGAGAGTGGGTTTTGAGGTTTCAAAAGCCCATGCCAGAGTCTGTGTGTCTCTCTATCTGCTGCTTGCTGATCAGACTCTCAGCTACTGCTCAAGTGCAGTGCCTTCCTTTGAGCCCCGACACTCCCCACCATGATGATGGACTAACCCACTGAAACTGTAAGAAGCACACAATTAAATGGCTTCTTTTATAAGAGTCGCCTTCATTATTTTGTCTCTACACAGCAAAAAGAACACTAAGACAGTCCTTACCTCAACTATGTGTATATATATTTATATGATCTTTAACAGCTATCTTCTTTTGAGAATCAGTCTGCTTTAGGAGCATTTAGAACTGAGAAAAATTTAAACTACCTGTTTGACCTGATTATTGTCTTGTAAGTCTAGCAACACATACTAACTTCCATATCTTTGGACCAGTAGAGTATTAAAAATATAACATAAATTGTTAGGCAAGTACTCAAAGACAACTCCAGAATTGAAAAGTTCATGGACTAGAGGCAATGTATACAGTTAATTTCAATATGTGTTTTATTATTATATATGCTTGATTACTATAGGATTAGTGGTGCTTTTGTCTCCAATACACAGCCCAATCATAACTAGTTAGCCCCTACTTTGAGAGTTTCTTGGCTCCTTTGTGTATCTCTAATGACCAATTATTCTATAGGTAAGAAATAAATAGTATTATTGTTCCTATAGATAACCACGTTTTCTTTTAATTTTAACAAATTATTTTAAAATTATGTGTACTTGCATAAGTAAATGAGAATATGGGTTTGTGCATATGAGTTCAATGTCCATGGAACTCAGAATAAGGCAGCAGATCCCATGAAACCTGAGTTATAGGCAGTTATGAGCACCCTGACACGGAAGCTAGGAATCAAGCCCAGATCTTCTGCAAGAGCAGGATGTGCTCGTGAATGCTGAGCCATCTCCTCGGCCCTGGGGATAACCACATCACCAAAGGACATCCTAGAACTGTCAGAGTCTAGAAAGCTTAACCACCCTGTAATCACTACATAACTTTGAAAGCAGTGTGTGTGTGTGTGTGTGTGTGTGTGTGTGTGTGTGTGTGTGTGTATGTGTGTGTGTGTGTGTGTGTGTGTGTGTGTGATTACACTTTCAGAGGCCAGATGTTGATATCAGGTGTGTATCACTTTTCAACTCCTTTTTTTGAGACAGAGTCTGTCATTGAACTTGGAGCTCACTTATTAGCTAGATTGGCTGGACAAGAAAGCCCTCAGGATCCCCCTGTATCCACTTCCTATCATTAGAACAGGAATGTACCATTTTGCCCTGTTATTTGTACTTGAAGCTGGAGATCCAAACTCTGCTTCTTGTGCATCTGTAATAAGCAGTTTACCCACTTAGCCATCTCCCTTGCCCCTTATTCGTTCTACTTCCTAAAAACATTTGCCAGGGGGTAGAGCTATACCTCAGTTGGTGAACAGTTTCCCTCACGTGCTATATTCCCTGGCTTTGATACTCACCATTGCATAAAGTCAGATGTGGTGCCAGAGGCCTAGAATCCTAGTACTCATGAAATCTAGGCAGGAGTATCAGAAGTTCGAAGTCAACCTCAGTTTTACAGTGAGTTCAAGACTCTGTTTCAAAACACAGAAACAAAACAAAAGCCCTACAAATGGCAAGATCTCAGAGTAAATATACATATACCAGTCAATATGAAATTATTACCAGCTGCTCAAAATGCAGTTATCCCCTACAATTGAAACAGAATTACATGGCAGGGACAACACTGTAAACTGAATGATGCTGTGGAGATAGCAAAAGGATGCAGCAACATAAATCCTGGCTCAAGAAGTTAGGAGCACTCAAAGCTAGGCAAATGTGAATAATCCCAAAGGAATATGACAAGCTACAGTTCAATCTGCCTCAGAAGAGGAGGTCAGCTATAATCTTCTTGCTCATAATTCAAAGACTGTTTTCCCTGGTGATGCTTCCTGGTTCTCCAATGAAGCAGCATGCCAAACCTGGGAGTCTCTGAAATTTCAGCCTTAAGATCCTGCAGTCTCCTGATCTTATTGAGTGAGGAGGAGTACCAGCTCACAGTGTGGGGTGTGGGGAAACAAACCCATGGGTACAGCTTCTCTCAGGACAAAGGGTTAGTCTATAAGCTTCTTAGCAGAGTTTGGAGGACAGCATAGCCTACAGAAATAGATCAGAATATCAGTTCACAGAAACAGAATAGAAGCAACTACAGTAACACAGTCGCTTAAAACTGAAGTCCTCCCTCAGTAGTCATACAGGCCCATGTGTCTCACATCACCACTACTCATTATTTTCATGTAACTATTTTACTTATCCATCTTCCTCACTGGAGTATAGATGTTCAACTTACAGTGGTGTTATGGCCCAAAAAACACACTATAAGGTGACAATGCAAAGATGGTTTTGTTAGCAAGGTACCTGAGTTCCACCACCAGAATCCATGTAACAATGTGAAATGTGTTGACACATGCTTATAACCCAGTTCTGAGGAAGCAAAGCCAAGTAGATCTGTGGCTCACTGGCTAACCAGCCTAGTTTACTGAGTGAAACCAAGACTAGAGATCCTGTCTCAAAAACAGGATCGTGTGTGTGTGTGTGTGTGTGTATGTGTGTGTGTAAATTATATAATATATATATTATATGATATATATATAGCAGCTTATACTATATCATATATTTTGATAGATATCATATATTGCTATTATACATACATATAATATAACATATGTGTGGCATACCCTAAACTCTTCTAAAAAGATTGTAGTAATTTATACCCATTCTTTTACACTTTTGCACTACTGGAATTTTTTCCACCATAAGTACATAGTATCTTATCAAATTAAGACTGTCTTGCCTTTCTGAGGCCATGTTTCAAAATTTGCTCAGTATACTAGCTGAATTCTAGGTTTAGTTTTCTTTGTTCTGTTTGTTTTGGTCTTTGCATTTTAATTTGTTTGTTTGTTTGTTTGTTTGTTTACTTACTGGTTTTTTGAAACAGGGTTTCTCTGAGTAGCCTTGGCTGTCCTGGACTCACTTTGTAGACCAGGCTGTCCTAGAATTCACTGTGAATTACTGCCTCTGCCTCCCTGAGTTCTGGGATTACAGGTGTGCACCACCTTTGGTTTTTCAAATCATTGTTTCTCTGAGTAGCCCTAGTTGTCCTGGAACTCACTCTGTAGACCACACTGGCTTTGAACTCACAGAGATCTGCCTGTCTCTGCCTCCTGAGTGCTAGGATTAAAGATATCATCCAGCTAGGTTTAGTCTTAACCACTGCACTTTAAAATTGATTGGTGTTATATATAATGTATCATATAATGAATTCATTCATTTGATTAAAAAATGAAATCATATTTAAAGGTAATCTCCTTTCCCATTTCTCGTATGTCCCAGTTCTTTCTTTTTAAAATATTGGGTTTTTTAGATTTAATTTTTATGTGTATGAGTGTTTTGCTTGTAATGTACACATGTGCATCACATGCATGCCTGGTGCCTGCAGAAGTCAGAAGGGAGAATCAGGTCCCCAGAAATTGGAGTTGCACATGATTGTGAACCACCATATGGATGCTGGGGAACTAGACCCAAGTCTCCTGCAAGAACAAGTGCTCTTAACCCCTGAGACAGCTTTATAATCCTGTCCCCAGTTCTTTTGAGACAGAGAGAATTGTTATTAGGGTCTATTCTAAAGTGGGTGGTTCTTTGAATAATTTTAAAGCAGCATACAAAGTAAGGAGGCTTCCTTGTGGTATTTCTATACATATATATCATAAGTGATTCTCATTTATTTTCTTTCTCCTCTACCCTTCTCCATGCTTCCTGCCTCTCTGTCAAGAGTCCCTTGCTTCCCCCAGGGAGTTTCCTCTTCTGCTCATTAGTCCCTTAAGATACCCTTGCTATTTTATGCCCTATTTTATGAAACAAACACTCACACATGTATGCACAAATATTTATAATGCAGGTTCCATGTTTAAGAGAAAATATTTAGCATTTGTCTTCCTAAGTTAACTTATTTTGCTTAACATATTAACATCTAGTTCATCAATTTTCCGGCAAAGGTGATTTCATTTTTCAAGATTTACTTTTTCATCATGTGTATGTGTGTGTGTGCATGTGTGTGTGCACACATGTATGTAGAGAGTTGCACATAGAAGCCAGAGGTATTGGATCCTGCTGAAGCTGTAATCACAAGTGGTTTTGAGCTGCCTTATATGAGTGAAGGTAATGAAACTCAGTTCCTCAGCAAAAGCACTTAACTGCAGAGCCATCTCTCTAGCCACAATTTAATTTTCTTTTTATCAGTTTCTCATAAAACTTACCAGAGTCTATGAAGAAATAAGCAAGCACAAATAAATGTCCTTCTCACCCTTTAAATTAATCTCATTATTATGGAAACAATTCTATACCTTACTAGTTATATTTAGTAACACCATTATCTCAGAACCTAAATCAAAAGCCACAAAAATATACTTTATTGTACTCCAAAAATTACTATTGCCAAGTGTGGGTGGTGCATAACTTTAATGCCAGGACTCAGAGGCAGAAGCAGGCAGAACTCTGTAAGTTCGAGGCCAGCCTGGTCTTCATAGTGAGTTCCAGGACAACAGAGCTACATAGTGAAACCATGTCTCAAAAAGATAGATGAAGGAGAGAGAGAAGAAGAGAAGGGGAAGGAGGAAGAGGTAGAGGAGATAAAACAAGAAGAAAAGAAGGAATTGAGGATGTGGCTCAGTAGCAATAGAATGCTCACTAGCTTGTGTGAGGTCCTGGATTTGATGTCTAGCAACACTCATGAACACATACAAAGACATATACACTGGAAGAAAAAAAAAAAAAAGAAGCAGAGGAGGTCGTGATTTTTTTCAACTCATATACTTGACATGGGGTCTCTACTGGATATACAAAAGAGTTCTAAAACTTCAATAGTAAAACATCAACCCAGTTAAAGACGGGTATAAGATTTGAATCTCGTGTTAACCTGTAAATATCTAATGATTTACAAATGACCAAAAAAGGAGCTGGAAAAGTACCTCAGTTAGTAGAGTGCTAGCCTAGCATGCACAAAGCTCTAGGTTCAATCCTCAGCACTTCACAACCATATTCAGTGGCCCATTTCAGAAATCCCACCACTCAGGAGATGAAGGCTGAAGATCATAAATTCAAGGTCATTCTGGGATATATAGTGAGTGTGAAGCCAGCTTGGAATATATAAAACCTTATCTCTGAAGAAAAATACAAACAAGATACACTAAAAACAAAGCACTCAAAAATTAGGGAAATCTGAAATATATAAAGAACTCAAGAAATTAAACTCTAACAAACCAAATAACCCAATCAGGTACAGAGCTAAACAGAGAATTCTCAACGAAGAATGATGGAGAAACACTTAAAGAAATGCTCAACGTCCTTAGTCATCAGGGAAATGCACTCTGAGCACTCTGAGATTCCATCTTACAATGGTTAGAATGGCTGCGATCAAAGACTCAAGTGATAGCACCTCCTGGCAAGGATGTGGATGAAGTGAAACACTCTTCCATTGCTGGTGGGAGTGTAAATTTGTACAACCATTTTGGAAATCAATCTGGCACTTTCTCAAAAAATTGGGAATAGTTCTACCTCAAGACCCAGCTATACCACTCCTGGGCATATACCCAAAAGATGCTCCACCATACCACAAGGACACTTGCTCAGCTATGTTCATAGCAGCTTTATTCATAATAGTCAGAAACAATCTAGATGTCTCTCAACCAAAGAATGGTTAATGAAACTGTGGCACATTTACACAGGAAAAAATACTCAGCTATTAAAAAAAAGGTATCATGAAATTTGCAGGTAAATAAATGGAACTAGAAAAGATCATCCTGAATGAGGTAACACAGACCCAGAAAGAAATATATGTTATATACTCACTTATAAACGGATATTAGCCATAAAGTACAGAATAACCATGCTACAATCCACAGACCCAAAGAAGCTAAGTAATTAGGAGGGCCCAAGGGAGGATGCTTGAATCTCACTGACTCACTCATTCTGTACTTCAGAATACACATCTGAAGTAGATAGAGGGAGGGAAGTGAGTGGGAGAGTGTGTGGGGAAGGATACGGAGGTGGGGATCAGATGTGGAGGGAGCAGGTTAGAGGGCTGGATGAGAGAACAGAAATTGGGGGGGGGGTCACCACTGGGAAGTGGAAGGCTTCTGGGAGACTATGTTAGTGACTCTAACTGAGACTCCTAGCAGTGGGAGATATAGAGCCTGAAGAGGCCACCTTCTGTAGCCAGATAGGATTTCCATTGGAGGGAGGGGAACACCAACCCACGTACAAAATCTTCAACCCAAACAACCAATGCCTGCACCAACTTGTGTCACAAACCATGAGAGGGAGATCACCACTGACACTGTTCATGATATTCTGCTATACTTGCAGACAGGAACCTAGCATAACTATCAACTGAGTGGCTTCACCCAGCAGCTGCTGGAAAGAGATGCAAAGACCAACAGCCAAACATTAGGTGGAGCTCAGGGGATCTTATGGAAGAGGGGGAGGAAGGATTCAAAGAGCAAGAGAGGTCAAGTACACCACAAGAAAATGTACCAAATCAACTAACCTGGGCACATAGAGGCTCACAGAGACTGGACCGCCAACCAGAGAACAACCATCTTCTAGTTTCCTCCCACCCCATATAGGTAACAGATGTACAGATTGGTCCTCATGTGGGACCTCTTAACATCAGGAGATGGGGCTTTCTCTGACTCTGTTGCCTGCCTTTGCATTCCTTTCCCATAGCTGGAAAGTCTTCTCTGGCCTTAGTAAAAGAATCCATACCCAGTCCTACTTGATATGCCAAAGGGGGTTGATATCCCTAGTGCTGAGTGCTGGAATTAAAGGTTTGTGCCAACACTGCCTAGCTAGCCTGTTCTTTTCTAATTAGAGACAGAAAGGGAGTAGATCTGGAGAGGAGGGAAGGAAGAACTAGGAGAAGTGAAGGGAGAAGAAACTCTAATCAAGATATGTTGTATGAGAAAATAATCTATTTCCAATGTTTAAAAAGTGAATTAGTTTTGTTTATTTGTATGGGTGTTTTGTCTGCATGTATATCTGTGCACCATGTGTGTGCAGTACCCATAGGACAAGAAGGTGACTGATTCACTGGAATTAGA